AGCATTTTAAAGGCAATCAATAACAAATATAACAATAAAAACTAACACAGCAATACCTATAACACTTTATGACTGCCCTGCACCGGAATTTTTAACTAATAAATAACACTGCACTTCACTTCACTTCACTTCCACTACACTTGCATTTCCACTTCGCCACACTACACATGCACTTCACTTCTCTATTGTACACAACTTCACAACACTTCACGGACACTCCAATTCAACTACTACCTTTAAATATAATTGTATATTAACACAACCAATGTATTTAATAGTGATTATCACAATACTAAATATTTTAAAATAACAATATTATAATAAAAATATATAACTAAAATACTCTCTCTTTTACAGATTATTTATTTATGATATAAAGTAATAATTCGGTGAAAATTGCTGAAGTTTGAGGTTTTGTGAATAATTTACTTTGGGCGTGAGTATCTCATCGCGGACTCTGCGTAATTGCAATGAAACGAAGCGTTCAGTTCATGGCATTTAAATTTAACATGTAGGGCACATAACGACTCATATCTGGTATAAGGCAATGAAGCATTTCGTTATTTTAAAAATAATGCAAGTTTTCAGAACATATTTCTGCATATTGAACTTTTTGAATAATTTCTTTTCAGCTTGTGCACCTCTTCGCGGCGTTGCATTAGTGAAACTAACGAAGCGGACGGTACAAGTGGGTTTGTAGTAATAAGGATTGCGTATTAAGATTTATAACTGATATCGAGCAAAGCGTATTTTATTATTTTATAAATAAAGAAAACTTTTATAACAAATTTCAGCAGATTGAGACTTTTAAAAAAAATCTGATGGGCGGATGTATCTCGTCGGAAACATTTTGTCATTTTCGGTCGCCATATTGGATCAGACATGTTTTAAACAATTTTGATATCAAATTTGAAATTAGCGACCACGCAACCCTCTAGGTAGAACTTCGTAATTGAAATCGAAGCCTTTGAGGTTTAGCCACGTTTTCGCCATCTGGTCACACCGTGCGTCTGCCGAGCAGAATTTTCCACGATCACAATAATAAAATAGTAGCACTGTACATGTTAATAGTCGGTCAATTTAAAGCTAGAGTATAGCTGTTTTAACTTCCTGTTACTTATTAACATCAAAGGTTATGCGTTCATGGATGTATGCGGGATAGATCTGAACACCGTCCTTGGGGGCACATTTGAACCCTTATCAAATGTACCCAAGTATAACAACACATGTTTATGGCCATACCTACATTTATTTTACAACTGAGAAGAAAGATGGTTAGTAACTATATTAAGAAAATCAAATCTCATATTCCAAAAGAGATAACTGACAAGGAGAGTAGTCTTTCTCTGAGGGAAGTTGCAATGAAATGACTCATACGTCATTATATTACAGGGTAAAAGGAAAAGACTGTCAGGGTGTGAACAGGTGTTCACATCAAGAGCATATTTTGGAAGATAACATTGTAAAGTGTTCCAAGCTAAGTTATGAAATGACATACACGCAAATCCGTCATTTAGAATTCGATTACGAACAAACTGTAAGTATCCAACAAACTGGTAATAACATAACGGGACTTCACTGAGCACAGCGCTTTATGAAAAGACACAAAACTCTTACACTTCGTAAGCCTCAAAATACAGGAATAGCCAGAGCCACTTCATTCAATAATCCAATGTAATGTGTAATTTTTTTTGATAATTATGAGCGTGCTCTTACATGTGCCAATCAGTTGGGACAGGGGGTGGAATCGCGGGTTGGAGTCCCGCCTTGGGCATGGCTGTTCATGGCTTCGTACTTTCACCCATTATGATCACCATATCATGCCATCTTCTCTGTTACCATACCGTTAAATGCAATAGTGGTCGCTAATGACCAAGATGTTGATGCAACCTCAAATAAAAAAAGGCAAAAAGTATGTAATTGAACATAAAAATCCGAACTCTAAGATGAGTCTGATTTTGTGATCCTTGAAGGAACAGTAGTATTGTCTGAGACTACTGACAATGAAATAATACTGATAGATAAACTTTCATTAATTCAATTCGCTAAAAAGAAATGCCAAGTTTTGTACGTAAGACAAGTAAAAATTGAAGTTACTGACCGTATTACTTACATGCGGACGTACGATGAAACATGGAATTTTGTTTTTTGAAACAAGGATGATGTTAGTGCAATTGAAAAAGACGATATTATTGTCAAACTTCCACAGCAACACACTTCAGCAATGACTGCACTTAATGCAAATTTTAAATCTTTTTTTATGAATTTCAGTTGTTGTAAGAAGAATATTTTGTACGCAAATCTACCAGAGATCAATAATTTCCAACAGATTTCTTTACCAGTGGTTGCGTAGGCTTCCGCGCCCGGAGTTTATATTGTCTTGGCTATTCGGGACGAGCCACGTCTAATGTCCCCACGGAGGCTAACCGCTTTCGGCAGCGTATTGTGGGCCTTCTCTCCAGAGGCGTAAGGCCCAGTACCCCCGCCTTCTTGAAGAAAGCCAGCTACCGCTCGAAGAAAAGGCCCACCCAATACCGCTGCCCCAGAAACCGGTTAAGCCCCCACCCCATAACATTGACGCGGCTCGTCCCGGATAGCCTAGACAACTTTATTTATCAGTATTCAAAAGTGCCCCGTAATAGTTCAAATGTACCCGAGGATGGGGTACTTGTGAACTCAGTGCCCTTTTTTCTTTCCCATTCCAAGAAGTATAAACGTAAAACTAATTGCATGTGTATAGTAAAGCACAATCTGTGTGAATGTGTCATGAAAATCTATTTTTGACTTCAAATGTAAGTAATAAAAATAATGAAGTGAAAGTGTTCAAATGCCCCCTTTCATCCCTACACTAAAACGTATATTGTAATACACAGTAGAAACTATATAAGAGAATTTTTGTCAACTGTTTTTGGAAGAAGGAACTGAAGAGCTCCCCCCCCCCAGCGGTGTCTGTGGTCATTAGTAAAACACAATTATTAATTGTGTATTAACAAAACACAATTTATTTGCCTGAAGACAAAGAAACTATTTGAGTCAAGTTTGTCACTTTGGACGAACGGTTGCGGCACTCCCTCTGTAAGCCTTGCCTTCCAAAACTGAAGCATTGGACGTGGTCTCGGTGAACAACACTGTTCTGTGGAAGTTATATAAATTAAACTATATGGAGAGAATGTTGGAATAGGTTAGGAAATTCTGGTCCCTGACTCTTTAGTAGTTCTTTGCAGATACTAGAACATTTTCTACAGGGAATATAATATCAAATAAACACAATATACCTGTTTTTCCTTTCTATTTATTGTTTCAATATTTTTTTAAATTTTCTATTGCTTTGGTTAGAAAAGATGTTTTGAAAAATTAGAGAAAGCAGTCATTAGATTGCACAAATCAATGCATTCCGGAGAATTTTTTTTTACTTTTGTCTTTCGATGTTGAAGAAAAAAAACACAATAAATATGAAATGCGCTTTTAAAGAGAAAATCATTACATTAAATAAAAGCAGAATATCACATAATTAACCAATGTATGAGAGCCATACACACATTTTTTATACACATCAGTGATTTTAAAACCTCTGAAACATGTTCGTAGTTTGTATTCGACACTATTATTTCTACTTGACTAGTGTCCAATCCTCCATTAGACGCCATTGACACTTCATAATTACAAAATAATAAATAATAGACGTCAAGGATTGATTTCATTCTTTTGTGTGAAGAGAAAGAGTTGCAAGAGGTAGTGATAAGAGAACAAACGATTTAGGAATAATATCAAAACGTTCATGCAATGGCCGCAGTACAAATAAATTCTGACATCATGAAGTAGCGTAATGTTCCGGGAATACATGGAAGTTCATACAGTAGCAATTGCTAATTCGTTCGGGTGAAGGCATGAATAGGAAAATCATTTCTATGGAGAAATGCTATCCGCTTATGCACTAGCGTCTCGTTAAGCGTGGATTTCGGTCCCAAACTCTTGTTGGAAGGGTTTTCAGCGTTGTGAACGGTGACTTTGTTTTCAGTTTACATCAGACGAGACAGCGTGGGTTCGACGATGGCGGCGAGGAAGATGGTTTCTGGAGAGGTGACACAGACGACATGGTGTCTACATTACAGTGCTTCGCTGGAAAGAGGAGAGAATGATTTTGGATCTAATGCAAACTATCTCCTTGCATGGCCTGGCATGCCTGTTAGCTTAGATGTTATCAAGGCCGTTCTTGTGGAACGAGCATTTCAACGCCCGGGTGGTACCATCGCCATGCCTTCCAGCGCAGCGCCCGCCGAGAGCAGGGCCTTAGGGACAGACGCCCACGAAGTCCTCGACGTTGCAAGGGCGCTCGCAGCACTTGGCAAACAGGTCGGCTTCGGGCGAGGGCGAGCGCGCCACGCGCGCGCCGCCGTCGTCAGCCGCCGCCGCCGCCGCCCCCCGCACCTCCCGCCGCCGCCGGTGGTACTGGCAGGAGAGGCGCATGAAGGTCATGAACTGGTCGTGGTCGCAGGTCGGATGCAGAACCCGCTGCTCCTCCCAGTCGCTGCCGCCCGATCGCAGCGACGCCGCCGCCGCCGGGGCCGCCTGAAACACCCAAAGAACTGCTTAACATGTGCAATTTGTAGCATGCGTGTTTGTTAATATCCTCCACTTAAACTGGTATCGCAATTTATGGTGAGTGATTGAAGAATTGGAAGAATGATAATGGCGCTGTGATGGAATGAGGCACGGCAAAAATAGCCGCCAACTCCCTCCCCACCGCGAGTTCCGGGTGAAGTGACCGGTGTGCGGGCGCAATCCAAAAGGCGAAAGTGCAACAGTCTAACTATGGGTCTGCTCACATTTACAGCACAGCTCTTATAGCAATAAAAACGTTCATTCCTAGTTAAATATCCCTAATCAACGGTTCGTACGAAATATAAAAGCCATGTCGCACGCCCCCCCCCTGCCGCTGTCTCACGCCATTGGTGCACACCTGTGCTGCACTCGCTAATAACGCCAACAAAACGTTCAGAGCAATTTCGTGCATTCAATTGCATCAAATTTAACGTGTGGGGTGTACTTCTTGCCCCATAATCTCATCAAATGACTCTTATGTTCTTTTTAAAAATGCTATTTACGAAGAAATTGGAGTCACCTGGCCTCTCTCTAGCATTTATTTATGTGTTAGACTGGAAAGAGAATTTATTATATCACTAACACGGCCCCGTCTACTCCCCTTCCCACTCGCATCACCCATCCCACACACCCCGCCAAGCGCCGCTCCGCTCCGCCCTGTCCCCACTCCCATTCATGTCCCGCCCACACTGCCACGCCGCAACGATCCGATGTGTCTCTGACCAATCAGCTACAACGCAAGCAATAAATACCTAAATGTATTGCTGAGTTGCATTAAACCAAAATTTGTAATATACATCACAGATTTCCCTGTTGTTGTTTTTTTCGACGGCCAAGAGTATTCGGCAAATTTTGGCTTAAATTTCTTCAGCCGAAAAATTGTGATGGAATTATCCTGGAATTATAGTCCAAACCTGCATGCCAAACATTGATCGAGATATATGAATTAGGGTTATTTAAGTTCGATACAAACAGAGCAACATAATGTTTAACAGCTTGATAAGGTGATTCCATTCCAATTTCCAGTTACTCCATACTAATAAAAACAATATATACATTGTAAATTAGATGTGACTAAAGCTGGACTGAGGATGACAGTTTGTGCTGTATTTTCTAAAACTTGATCCCAAAAAAATTGTTTGGGAGAGAGAAAATAAAATATAATGGAGATAACTAATTACGATTCATATTAATTCGTATTAATAATAAAATTAGTACATACTTATATTGGAACAAATTTAAAGGGAAGCAAATTCATTTTTATTGAACTCGTGGTGTAAGTTATTTTGTGACTTCCATTCGATTTTATTTTAATTGGTTCTTTATCTCTCCTGCCATAACAATGCTCGAGATTACTATATAAAAGTTGAACACCTTCTCGAAACGTTTCAGCTTTCATCAAGACGTACACAATTTTAATGGTTTTGTTTATTGATGTTAGAAAAAATTCTATATTTTAGGAAAGTTGAAAGAGTTAAATTTTAAATGTTTATTAATCTAGAGTATTAAAAATGCAAAAAATAGGCTACGAAATCTGTATCTGTGACTTAACTCACGAAGTACACCAAGAAAAATCGTTCTTTGGATTTTATGGTTATGAGAAGAACCATTATATGCCGCAATATGATCTAAAAGAAGAAATGCATTATGTATATTTCTACCTATACGTTGTACATGACTGCTATTTCCCGCCTATACTACACTTTTATGTCTTTTGAAAATTGTAAAAACTGAAACTCGTTTGAGAACCGCAGGGGTCAGCGAAACCAAGAGGGAGCTTAATGGTGGCTGCTAGCGCTCCGTCCATATCGGGAACACCGGTTCTCATCAAACCACAACAGTCCGGCGCCGTAGACGGCACCCGGTGAGCTATGTGGAGGAACTCGCCGCCGCCGTCCAGGTCGAGGTGGCCTGGCGCTGGGCCCCTCCGTCAGCTACTAGTCTTTTTGTAACACGGTCGGGCGCAATGTATCCCAAATGCACATTGCTTAAAACCGGCTGAAGAGGCTCAGAGCATTAAGTGACGTCTCTGCAATGCCTCTGACCGGGACGGCCTAGGGTTCGAATCCCGACGGTGGGGGATATTCGACACTAGCGACAGTAGGTAGGTTAGAGATACTCGTACTTGAATGAGGAAAATCCTGCAAGCCGACGTGTAGATCGGCGCGGGATGTCATCATGCAACGGGGAAAAACGACGACGCCCGCGATAAAACAAGCACGACACTCACAGGACTAATGACCATCGCAGTTGACGCGCCAGGAAACGAGAAATTATCAATACATTGCTGAATTCATACTGAATTTCATTCAATCATACTGAATCGGCTTGTGACAATGATTTTATTATCCATAGCAATACGAATTTTTGATACATCTGTTGTGACATAAGTCCGAAATATGGATTAGTTACCGAATTACACTTATTTCACACATTAGCTTGACGGTTTGGATAAAGCTTTATCAATGACGAATTATTTCAGATATCATTCGGCTAATGTTGAGATTAACCACAGTATGTCACTGGCTAAAGTAAAGTGATTGTTCGAGAGAGAGAGACGTCAGGAGCGTTCGCGAGGCTTATTTTCGTTATTTTATGTAAAGCACGTCTGAGCCTCGTCTGCCTAATACGAAAATGCGAAGCGGAGTGCCAACTAAGGGATATAGTGATGTCAGGTTATGGTACGTGGTATCGAGAATATAGAAATATCAAATATAACGATTAGCACAGGAAAATGCGAAAAAGCACCTTACTCTCACTAGACTTGGAAACTTCCCATTAGTAGTCTGATTCTCGTTTGTCACATTATCTACTATTTCCTGTCACCCTAACGTTCTCCACCTACACGAGCCCCTTGTAATGGGCTATTATGCACTTCAATCGGTAATTGTCTTCGAAGCAGTTCCTCCTTCCAAACTTTATTCATCCAATTTGGATCATGTCAACATTAACCGGTTAATTTGAAAATTAATCAGTCATACTTTCATTATAACATATCTGTTATCAGAAGAAATAGTATTTACTGCATAGAAGACATCCATTTCTTCATTCGAGTCTCTACAACACTTTTGCAAGCACTGACGATTTTACGAGTATAACTAAATACTATTTCTCCATCATTACCATCTTCATTCAAAATGAACTGGCAGAATTTTTTGGATTAGACAAGTCAAATAATATTTCTCTTCTTTTATCGAATTGAAAATTTTGGCACTTAAACATGCATATCTAAACGAGGACATTGTACTCGTATTGACATTTTTAAACAACGCATCGGCCATAAGCTTTCAATCGGTAAACGTAGTGGCGTAGCGTAGAGGGGGCAGCAGGGGCGACACTTTTAGGGGGCGTCACAATAAATAATAATAATCTTGTGAAAAATTGAAGCAATTAATGTCATATTTTTGTCGCACCTGCGATTCGTACCGATTGAAATGAGCACCGGATATTTCATCACTTGTTCTGTGACTTCTTTAAATAAATATGTATTGATTATATATTGTAAAACATATACATGACTTTTTTATTTGTAACCTGTACGATACACAATAATGATGATTGTTCTTGCCAAAAAGTTATTTACAATTACTGTATATTATATCCTTCTAAACTGAAATACCTAAATAAGGGGGCGGCGGAATTTCCATCCGCTCCGAGCGGCTGACACCCATGCTACACCACTCTTAAACCGAAACGTTATTTAATAATCCCAGCTATTCCAATGTGACCACTTTAAAAGAACGTTGAAAATAAACTAAGCGCTTCATCTGGGCTTGTTTCACTATATACTGCCTTGTCACAAGGTAATACGCATTTCCTATTACAAAATGAGTCTGTCACTCATCTTATTACTTATATTTGTTTTCCTACGAAAGGTGTATGCTTCCCCATCAACTCCATTCAGTGGTGGATACAGAAAGTGTTTCAGAGAGAGGACAATTTCAACCACCATAAATAATTTTGAAATAGTATTTTTTGTTGCCATGAAATTAAAAACTACGAGTTTCTGCATAATGGAAAAGCGATAATTACCCGTGAATAAATGGAGTAAAATTAAAAATTATGTTAGATGGGAGGGGGGGGGAATGGTCTCCATGCCCTAACCCTGGAACTCCATTCCACATTCCATCCACCTGAAATCTTAAATTTAGCCTCACGGTTACATAACTACTAGGCGACTGCTTTGGTGACAATGCATGACACGAATTTCACTGCTTTTGCAAATGCATATTCCTCGCTTTTCATAAATTATAGAAGAGCTTCAATAACTCGAACATCAATAAATTGGCCATCGATAATCCGAATTTGATTTTGGCTAAACAAAATCGCATGTAGTGAATAGTACGTATGCAGTGCATACTTCTTTATAACTTTTGAAATCGGAAAATTAAGATAATTATAAACACAGTCTACAGAACGATACTATCTCTTCTGCATAAAATTTGCTAAGAAATGATGGCATATGTTTCCTTTTATAACAAACCGTGGTTAAGAAACCCTTACGTACATTACTGATGGATAGGGAGTTCCTCCTCAGGGGGTCTATCAAACAGTTTTAAGTCGAAAAACATAAAAGTTCGCTGTCATGGCGTATTTGGATTATCAGGTACACTTGCCACTCGCTCACCACATTGTGCCGCAACACACTATCATCGTTCATAGCTCAGAAACGATGCGCCCCAGACCCTGAAAACTGCCTTTTTATGACCCTGTAAGAGATATCGTTTTCTACTCTGCAACCAACAAAACGAGACTTCTTTATAATTTGATTACTTTTTAATGTTTCCGTCACTCCGTAACACGGGTTGCCAGAATCTCTGGGTTCCAGATTAAAGCATTTTTACATTTAAAACAATTATTCAAAAATTGATATTTTTGAGATTACAATTTCTTGAGAAAAACAATGCCCTTCTATTACATTTTGTTGCATTTTCGTTCTTCTGGATACTCTTGCTTTTCAGAACTTTCCAGTTCATCCGGTACGGAAGGCTAAACGCCGTAACTAAGGTCATTAAACTCATTAAATACATATAATTTTATATATTATTATATGTATATGGCTCAGCTCACGACAGGTCTTCTGCAGCAGGTCCTCTGGGAAGTATTTGATTATCCACCATAAGGTGGATCTCGCCAAGGAACGATTTCCATCTTTCCTTATGTCTCAAGAAATTCCTGACCGGTCAGCATAACACGTATGGCACTAACTCAGAGTGCCAGGTGGCTGTCAAACCCCTGTACTTATCTCAGGCGGGAGACTTCTACGACACAGGGAGGCAAAAATTGAGCCCACCGTGACCAATGTCACAATTTGGGGATGATTATCAGATTATTTGTGGGAAAATATTGAAGCATTTGCTGTATCCTCTACAATAAAGTTTTACCATGAAATTGTGTTTTCTATTTATTGACGACATACGAAAACGTATTTTCTGGTTACGTCTACCAGTCATTTTATGATTCATTTCGATAATCCAATTTGAAAATCCGGAAGGGGTTCGATCTCAATTCGGGTTATCGATGTTCTAATCTAGGGTTTCATATTTCCTTTGTTTCCTTAACACTGCCCTTAAAAGAAATTATCAAATTAGTTGGGTTTTAAACCAACGTATATATATCCCATAAGTGTTAATATCTAAATTAGTCACATGTTATTCACTGCGAGACCACTTAAGTCAGGAAATGAAGCTCGACTTCCCAGGGGCACCAAACGTGTGCTCTGAATCTATACGCCCAGCGTTAAGCCTATGTTCTACACTTCTTGTTTTCTTTCTTTATTCGTCACGCTGATTAAATTAATCTGATTAAATTAATCTTCTCTGAATGCTAGCACTCATCGAGCGCAAATAGCACATTTCAACATTCCAGTTCTAGCATTTACGTTCCGACTTATTGGTACAACCTGCTCGAGCACCCTTGGTATGCTGTGCGGCAACTCTATCCATGGTACGTTCTTGAATTTCTGGACATTAATGGAATACGAGAAAATGACTGCTCATTTTGTAAAAGTCTAATTCTAGATTAGAGAAGTACGGAAGTTGTCTGCAAATGGAATCTGAAATATATGGATCTCAAATCTGAAGGTGAAAGGAAAAAAAGTCCGACTTACCAAATATTTCGGCATCACCAGGTTCGAGTAACCAAAACACCTGAATACACGTGAAGGGGAGGGAACAAAAGTGCATTCAGTCTACCCGTTATAATGTGGTAGAGGTTATTTTCATAAAGAAGGATGAGCTATTAGACGCTGACAACTGTTACGGTATATCGAGCATCAAATATCTAGTTAGTTGGCATTAACAAAAGATACTTCACACCACTGTAGTATTTTCTGCAATACACTGACTTCTAATAAATTCCTCACAGAGCTATTATTAGGAATTGTGAGAGAGCTATTATTATAAATCTTTCCACCAGAAAAATCAAGTTAAATCATTTATAATTGATAAAAATAAAAGTAGAGTTCAAAATTGTTTATAAAAATCGCTTGAATGGAAACTTCTGCTTCTCTAATACAGAATAAATGTGACAAACGTCCAGCACACCGGGATTGAAGATAATCACATTTATCGATGAACATGTAGTGGGAAATATTAATGATGTTAAGCGTGATGTTTTTGGCATGGCGCTAATGATCAACACTCAACATGCACTGGTATTTAGCAGGTACACGATTTCTCAGCGAATGACCTGCCCTCGTCAATGACAATATCAATGTTTTGTCTTTGTAGTTCCACTTTGACTGGGTCAGAAAGTGCACTGTAATTACCACGCACGTCTCAATGGCCTTATAACCGTAAAATCGACAATTTTTTGTAGTCAAAGCACGGCAGGAGTTTCAAATTCAAAACGATGCTATTGTCTTAACACTGAAGAGAAAAAAGAAATAAAAAGAGTTGAAATGCATGTTTCTTGAATGAAAACAGAAAGTTAAACCGAAAACGTTAGAATATTCACATGATGGGAATGTTTTCAGAACAACATACTCGTTTTTGTTAGCAGTTGGCACCAATTTCCAGCCTCGGACTCTTTCGCATATAGTTAACAGTGGAATAATAAAATGCGAAAATAAAAAAAACTCATTATTTCTTGGTGCGGTTTCGTCGTTTAATAAAAGTCGCATCTCAAAGGATGGGTGGAATGGGGTTCAACGACAGTCTTCAGAGCAATATTTTGCCATATATTTACAAAAGGAGTTGCTGTTTCAACGTTTGAGACTTGCACTATCAGAACGTTTTTCCTAAATCAAAATAAAAGTTTCTTTTTCAGAGCGTTTCGGAAGCTTATAACACAATTCGCTATAGTTGCCATTCATGGCCGCTTTGTGAAAACTCTGGCAGACTCTTACAATCACGCCTGCTCATAATTATGCAATCTTATTTGAGTATCTTTTGTTGAACAGTTATGGATTAGATATGTATGGAATAGTAATGAATTCGGACCAACAATGTGAATCTTGAACAAGTTCTTTAAAAAAATTAAAAAGGAGTGCAGGGTCAGTGTTTGTTATTAACAAAGTAAGTTCATGTTCTGTAAAGTCTCGAGTGATAATATATATTGCTCTTACAATCCTACCCAATTTTAACCCTTTTAATTACATTTGCTGTCTTTCCACCCATTACAGTTCATAAAAACTTATCAAAAATGCTACCAAAACTCCCATATTTTTTAAAAGTAATGTAAGGTACTTTTAAAGTAAAATAAAGAGTAAAATTAAGACACTCAATGCACCGCTAAGAATGCGTAGCGTGAATATTTTATACAGACATCTGAAAACACAAACATCTGAATCAGTCGGAGAAAATAACACGTCTTGCGCGAAACGCGGTTTTCGTGCTTATTTTCAGTGTGCGAAACATCCGTAACGATTCGCAATTTTCTTTCGTCTTGACGTCTTTGTTTATTATTTACAAATAGTGTTACGACACTGACTGGAAGTTACTTTAAGACACGTCCAGTTACTTTTGTACAAGGTATTTCTAGTTATTTGATATTTAAATTATATTATTTTACTTGACATATTGCTTTTCGCTCACGGTGATTCCCGAATTAGACTCTCTCAACCGAGCTAAGCTCGGACGAAAAACTCGACTTGTGTTGGAATCACCCGTTTCGCGCCCTTGTTCATAATATAACCATTTGCTATACGATTGCAGAAAAACATTGTGAATATTTCGTGAAATAAATTATTATTTCTTGCAAGATCTTGACTTTTGTTTTGATCTACAAAAAAAGCACTACTAGTAACTCCAAATAATTAATGTCATATACGTGCAAAACGTGTCTACAGAAAACTCTGAACTCCCCATTTGCGGGCACAAGCCGAAGCCAAGACTACCCTCGTAGAATGTACAAGACCTAACATTCGCTACACACGCACGTACGAAGTGTTGCCTACCCGCAGGGGCTACTCGGGCAATCGTCATCCGCGGAGTTTAAAGTCTTTTGGACTTGGCGTATTTAAATTTAGTTTTCGAAAGTGCTGAACAAGTTGTAGCTGGAAATTAATTTGTTTTACCACCAAACACACTTCACTAATTCATGCGTTTTGGGGCAATACCTTAACATGGGCAAAGCAATCTTCACTATACTTAGTACTTTTACACTATACAAGTACTTTTAAGTGTGAAGCAGAACGTTAAAAAAACTTTTCAAAGCAGATTTAATTTGCTGCATTCGGTTATAAACATGAAGATGAACAATTTGAAAAATAATTATTTCCTGTGAACTAATGCATGCTCTTTGTACTCCTCAACTTTCGAAACAAGAGTGTCGGTTATGAATCGTAAAATAGAACTTCCGTCATGGAATTCTGAACTCCCTTCTGACCACTGGCACGTGCGAACCACAAGGACAGCAAATGGCTTTGTATTATAGTACTTCCAATGCCACGAATCATCGCTGCGTTCTGTATACTTCCTTCTAGTTTTTCTTCCACCTCACCCGCGGGGCCAAATTACAGGTCTGAGAACCTTGCGGCCAGTTACATTCACGCAGATACTAGGTATTTAACATGTCCTTTTCAACTAAGAAAATAATAATAAGGCCTTATTGGAGTAACCACTGTTTACAGTACAATTCCATTGTTTTCTACGAATGCTTCTCGAATACGACGCATGTAACATGTTATACACAAACGTCTTTCCCACGTAAAATCCATTTACAACCGATACAACCTTGAAGGAATGAAATGTATACATTAGAAACGAAACATTAAGAACTCGAATGTCAATCCGTACTCAATCGTATCTCAACCCGCCGGGCGAAATCAGTATCAGTTCTTCGTATCAGTTCTGAGCAAACGTTTCAGTAGGTAGACGACCCAAAACGAGGAAAACAGATGACCGCTTTTTTGCAACTTCTTTCTACATGACCAAATGCATCCTGGAAACTCATTTATAATGACTATCGTGTTCTATTACAAGAATCGTTTTTTCCTATCTTTTCGTCTTATTGAATGTATAGTAAAAACACGTGAAACTTTTTTTTCAGATTTCCTTTATCGAAATACAATGGATTTTTTCTTCGATCTTCTTCCCAACAAAAAACTACAGAATTTTGAGTCACTGGGTATGATCTCACAGACACCTTAGACGCACGTACTTTTTCTTGATTTCTTACTCGCGTGGGTTTACCATCGCAAAGAGACATTTTGCGTGGGCTCGGAATGGCGTAGAACACTGCCAGTAGATCGCCGTCCATCCACAGTCATTTATTCGGCGACGAATCCCACAAATCCATCAATGCGTCGTACGAGACCGCTACAACGCCGACAGAGTTCACGTGAAGGTGGATTACAGCCTTCTTCCCAGCACTCACCTGCATTTGCTGCACTGCCACCGCCATCAGCAGCGCCAGCACTAGCAGGTAAGCTTTGCCTGCAGCAGCCATTGCGAGGGTGTTGGATAGGCGGTGTGGGGCGTGGGGCGGCCGGCGGAGCTTGCTACACTGCGGCGCGGTGGAGGACCACCCGCGCGTTTTTATCTGCCGCGCCCCTGGCGGGCGCGGGCAGTGGAAGGGGCGGGGCGGGTGGACCGAATGCGCCCGCCCGGAAGGCGGTGTTGACGTCGACGCAAGAATGTGCGCCCCCGCGCGCAGCCCGTTATCGCCATCACGTTCGCTGCGATACGGCAGGAAGGCCCGCGCCGAATAGCACTAGGGAAGGGGCGAGGAGGGGAGAGGTGACCCAGAAACACGAGTAGCGCGCTCTCCAAATGTGAATTTATTGTGCATTACTCATACAATCGCTTTTTGGGGTGTGGCGCGGCGCGGCGCTGCAATCCGCGCGGGCCTCCTGGCGCCGCCGCGGCGCGCGCCCCGCGTACCTTCTCCGACGCAGACCCCACACGCTGCTCCTTGCGCAACCCAGCCTCTACATACTATGATTCATTGTGAACGTACTGCATTCAAAATAAAATATAGAAAGGAATAAAAAGTAAAAATATTCTACACACGTTGCGCGGCGAGGCGTTATGCGCCGCTGGTGGGGCGCGGGCCCTTCTGCGTCATGTTGATCTTGTCGCCCAGGCTGAGCGCCATGCCCTGGCTCTTGGCGCGGATGCGGATGTGGCCCGTGACGGGCGCGTCCGGCTTGTTGAACGGCTTCTCGATGCTCAGGTTGGCCAGCGCGTCCTCGCCGAAGATGGAGCGCGCATACATGTTAGCCGCCATGAAGCCGCATTGCCCGGACAGCGCCTGCAATCAACAGCATTTATTAGTCAGGGAGTCTTCATTGCTTTGGGGCGCGTCATTACTGAGGTTATTAATTCGTTAAGTGCAGTGCATGATATATCCCGGGAGGTTGCGGTATTCCTAGACCGCAATAACGTGAGATCTACACGCAGGATATCCTCTCGCACACGTAAGCTTCCGCGGTTCAAATCCATAAATTCTTGGCTATCCGGGATACGCCGCGTCGTTGGCTGAGAGGCTGAGAGGCCGATAGGCAAGCCGAAGGACAGAGAGGCAACAGTTGGCTTCTCAGCCAACGACGCGGCGTCTCCCGGATAGCCGAGAATTTAAGGATATCCTCTCACCCAGCACGGACCTACCCCAGCCGGTGACCCTTTCTCGTGCAAAAGAATTGCGTTCCACGTCAGCGACTTGGCTCTAGGGCTTCGCGGTCACGCCGTGTGCAAGGGAAAATGATTCTGGAAAGCTTCAGTAAAGAAACAAACGTTCATATGAATCAGGCCAAATGACACAGTAGAAGACGAAAAAGTTGAAAGAAGAGAGCTTCATCTTTAATACACTCCAGAGAATAATACTGAACAGATGCTACAAGAATGAATTGAGAGAGAACAAATGGAATTGTAGCTACCATTTTAAATTCCACAGACAACATCTTAAACAACATTTACATTATATCCCTAAAATTCATGGACTTAATGGTGCTTGGTTCATCAGTTTCATGAATATTAATCTTAGATAATCGTTTAGTAGGAAGACGTATTAAAGTAACAAGTAAATGTTTACAAGTGACAAATGGATTAAGAGACACACAAGTGTCTCAGCGGCGAAGATCATACACGGCGTAAACGGTTATGGATTTCAGATCTCAGGCCACATCGTTGGAGGGGAAGGAGGAAAAGGTTAACGCGCGCAGTTCTCGGGCTGCGTAAGACAGCCCCGCCCCCCAGTCGCGCCAGTTACCGCGGGGAAACTGGAAACAGTGGCGGTACCACAGTGCTAGGAAAATTTACGGAGTCCAACACCAAAAGGAAATCCACTGCGCTGGGACGAAGTCCATTCCTTCAAAAAAATATCCTATCAAACGTGAAGGTAACGGCGGCGCAAAACCAACCATGTAACAATAAACAATACAGTCTAGATAATCTTCATTAAGAATTTCAATTAAAATTTTAATTCGATACAAAAATTGTCACTACGCATAAAACTAGGCACACCTCAAGTCGACCGAACTAAATGAAATGAGCATTCGCGCAAAGGCCTTTCTGCTGCAGAAGAGGGTTTGCTGGCCGATGTTAGCGCATCCACTGTTGACGCCACTTGTTCCACTCTAGTAGAAGAAACTAGTACCTTCTGGACATGCAAGAGCTGGGAATTAACCCTCGCTAGTTGCCTGCAGATGCCCAGTCTCGCATCGAAATTCCTGGCGCATGTGATGCAGGGGGCTTTGCAAAAACCGACAGCAGCTTGCCTCGAGCTCTAAAACACTACTATTAGCGTTAGACTTCGCCGCGTTTACAAGGCATCTGCTTTGATCACGAAGGTGAGAACAGGCCTGCCAATCTGCTAACGATCCACGTCTTCCCAAATACATCTCCATAACGGATTCTTATCAATTTCATGCTACACACACAAGTGAATTATTATTAAGGAACAAAAAGAAGGTCCCGTCAAAATGCAAAAAGCTGGTGGGACTACAATAATACATTCTTTTACGCATATTCATCATGACTACGCAATATTATAATGCTATATGAACCTGCAAAAGTGTTTCCAAGCAGCACTTTGTTTTACACGCGGGGATACAATATTAGCTTCTTAGTTTCAGCACACCATTCACGATACCACTACTCCACCAGCCTCACATGCAAACAGAACCTACCCCACGCTTTAATAGTGAGCTTGAACATTATCATTTGTAATTTGCAAAACTTCAGAGATTCTCTTCGAAAGTGATCACCCCTGTAGGTGGCTTCAAAACTTCTCAAACGCGTTTTAGATGCTCAACTCCCAGTCGAACACGTTTTTCCTATAATTCATTACAAAATAAGGTTTAATTGTAGCCAATCTGATGAACAAAGACGTAACGATTCATGTAAATGCCGGAAAGAGTATAGTATAGTAATTTCTCCAATATTCTCAATGTACATTAGAACTATAAAACACGTGTTTTTCTAGTATTCTTTCAGAATACTCTAAAGGGAACCCGCTAAGAACTGACTCAAGCAGAATCAACTGAGCCGAGAAAAATGGTATGATCACCAGGGTAAGTGCCCTGAAGTACCCAGAAAGCATTTCAGTAGCTTCGCAAAACAAAGCAGTTTTCTTTGCGAATTTTTTTAGATTCTTCTGGATGAATCCGCCAAAGAATTATCAGATCCCCACCAAGAGACCGACACATTTATGCCGATTGGCGGCCCGGCAATGTCTAACCATCAGTGCCAGTCGAAAGGACGGGTTGACGCAGGTTATGCGATGACTAAGTAACGACAAATACTCTATTAATGAATATTAATATACAATCACAACAACCAAGCGTTTTTGAAATGTAACATATATTTTACAACTCAATGAACTTTTTTAGAACTTTGTTCAACCTAATGGTGCTAATAGCACAATCTTTCTGGCTTTAATGGAACGGTGACACAATACTATAATATTGCAACTTCTATCCTAGTAACACTGGCGCCAGCACTTTAAAACTTTCTAAGAAATCAAAGCGCCAGAGATAAAAACAACAAAAAAACCTCATTTCTATTTGAAAATCCACAAGTTTAAAAGCGAATGGCTTTCGGTCATTAAATTCGATGTATTGCGATAAATTATATTAAAATGCTTAAAGAAAAGAACAGCAAGTGGTTGATAAACTATGTTGCTATCTATTAATATCTCTATTTATTATGAATGAATTTAATGAATTCTTATTGTTGAGGTGATTCCAAACTTACGCGGGAAAGACTAATATCTTGAAAACTTGTCCATGACATTATTTTAAAATCTTGTGTTAGAATAGTTTCATAGTAAACTACAAGTTTCATTATTGATGGTGTAGATCAGTCTCAAAAACAAATTAAGTTTTGCACGTTCCGAAATTCAGTTTTATTCATTAAAACTTCCTGGAGTCGATATCAACAGAATCTTGTTTATGTATATTTTGCCAGCCACAATTGTTGCAGTTGTCTATACATAACTACACATAACGTAAATGCACGATTGAATTTTACATCAACATACTTCGTTAAGGAAAAAATAAATATCAATAATAAAAGAGAGAGTGTAAAAAAAACATTTTTGCAATTTTCGAAAATTTTGAAGTTTTAGTGAAAATTGGACTTGCACCGTTTACAAACGTTGTTGTACTATCAAACAAAAATGTTAGAACATATTTTCGAGGAGATTTAGGGGACATTTTTGAGAAAATTTCGAAAATGTCCCGGGGGTTTCACTTTAAGTATCTGAGATCCGTTTCAATTTCGAAGAGCCGCGACATTGGCGTGATTGATCGGGGTGTTTTCAATGAATTTTGATGAAAATCATCATAAACTGTTAAGGCGCTTGATGTGTTCACAGCTACACTTGGACACAGACGTACAAACAAAAGCCTTTTTTAAAATTAAGAACTCACAAAACGTGGATTCTTACTATACTAGTATTCATTGTAGAAAAAAAACAACATTTTTTCGGTATCAGGAACCCACAGAATGTGATTTCTGCCGAAATGTCTGTCATGTTTCAAGCATTACATAACGAAGCAGTTTACGAGGGCGTACAAGGATAGGGGGCCCAATTTGGTGGACGCTATCAGATCTTCAGTGTCTATCAGTGTCTGCTCTGGCACTTACCTCAAGATCAATTTGGCTCTTTCTCATATTTCCAATCAAGGTTAAATTCTCAGCTAAAAACGACGCAAGCACAGTGAGTAATGTAATACTTATTCACTATTTACTTATTTTTAAATTAAATGAGCAACACAAGATACTTTCATATCAATGTTCTGGAATTTCGTAAGTTTGTTTATGATATTAAAATTTGAATGTGCATATCAATGCGTAAATGGCGCAGTGGAATTACTGTAACGGACGACGAATTAAGATTTCCAAAGAACATTGGTATTTGAGGAATGTAACAACGTCTTTCCTGGTTAAAATACGAGCTTTAGCGATGATGTAATCACGTTCGAGATGAAAATAAACAAGGTCAAATACTTTCGAGTAATATGCGCACTAGGATTACCAAATACTTCCGAAAACTGCGATGGCTACATTATACCCACTGACGTTTTACAAGTAGTGAATCAAACCATGGCACGTTAGAAACTCCAATTCCATATCACCAAAGCAACTCACAAATTATTTATATTTTCACATGGTCCTACAATCAATAAATCACAGGCCATGGGTGAGTGTTCACGCAAGAAAGTTTCACTATTTCAATTTTTCGCCAAGGATTTCTCAACACGAAAAAATCTAAATAACGGGCAGCTTTTCTCTTCCGTTACAATCATAGATTCTATTCTGCCAACAGCAACAGTTCGCATGCAAGATAAGAATCACAAGTCGATTTTTAAAAGACAAAACAAATACAGAATACTTCTAATTTTTATATATTTGTCGTGTAATCCTGTGTGATCAATATGTTGTCTCTCGCCATTTTCTAAAGGCAATTAAACATTTCTCTTGCTTCTTTCCTTAAAACATTTTTATTACAAAAAAAATTGTTAAACTGAGCAACAACAAATTTTAACAAAGTTTTTGTAATAAAAAATGTCGTAAGGAAAGAAGCAAGAGAAGAAATATGCCTTTAGAAAATGGTCAGAGACAACATATACTAGATTACACTGAATATTTCTCTATATTACATCCCGAGGAATATGTTGAAAATATTCAATTATGCTATTTGGAAACGGGTACAGTTTTAAAGTCGTACAGTTAAAATGAAATGAGAACCTATTACTGCACGGTATCAGTCAGAGTTGGCAGAGAATTTCCATGGAGGAGCTGTTGCAATGTTTGATACTACTACTGTTACTTACTACTGATACTTACTACTGTTGGACAACGACCACCTGGCGCCACCCACCTCACATCCCTTCATGCACGAACCACAATGAACGGCTAGCAAAATGACAACGGAGGCAAACTAATGATCTGGAAGGCCGAGTCTTGCACTGCACCAATAATTCTCAACCCGTACTTGCAGCAGACTTAATTGACTTGTTGAAGCCCGAGGCCCCCTGAGAGTCAGCGCAAAAAAGGCTACCGGGGAACACACTGAATTTGCTTCCGTGGTTGAAGGAATACCGCCACTTAGTGCAAAATAATTAAGAGCAGGCCGTTTCAGACGGGATTACGATTACGATGACCACCACTAGTGAATACGATAGGATTTGGAACAATGTAGGGTGTTGTTTTATTTTCAAATTTCATTCGCTCTACGTTGTGAACACCCCTGGTCTGTACACGACCATCGCAAATAGACACGACCTCCCCAAGTTCATGTTCCCCACACCTTAGCTACACGCTATTTTAGAGACGTCCTGAAAAAACCGGTGAAGGCCGGCAAGGCAAAGTCAAGGCAAGTCCTATACAATGATTGCTTGCGGGGCAACTACCGAGATTAATTCCAGAAAAGTGGAAAATGATATTTCCCCAGAGGTGGAGTGTTCCACATCGATGGAACATGATATCCAGCACCGACGTACACATCGGGTTGGTGGGAGAGGGCGGTTCCTCTCCAAGTACTTCTCATAGCGGGGCACCGTCTCAGTCGGTAGAAATTCTGGTGCATTTAGATGTAAGTGGGCGTGTAAGGAAAAAGTCAAGAACGAAAAGAAAGATCACGCCGTCCGTATGATGTCCGACATGAGATCCAGAACCGACGCTCCGGCATTAGCCGGAGCACTGATCAGAGAAACTGTGAACATCAGAGCAGCAGGTCGCTAGAATTCTCCTCCAGACACTGGTTGAAACTCGACCCAACTATCGGACTCGGACCCCAGGACCTCACTGTCAACGTTGTTGCAGAGGCAACGATGCGATGCTGCATGCGAGCTGCAGCAGCCGGCAAGAGGAATTAAAGAACAAGTCATCTCACCTTCTCTGGAGTGAGGCACTTCATGTTGGTGGAGCGCAGCAGGTGGCGCAGGTACTCGTGCAGGTCGGTGAGCGTCGTGTTGACGGACACCTTGTTCTCCCACTCGAACTCCGCCCACATTTGGCGGAACTCAGAATCAGTGCAAGAGGCCGGCACGATGTAGTCCATGATGTCGATGTGGATGTCGTTCAGCACCACCACGTTGCGGTCGGACACCGCGCCGCTCACGTCGTACACTGCGAAACACGCGCCCGGCGTTCGTTTAAGGATACATGCATGCACACACACACACACACACACGCCGCATTCACGTACGATGTTTTGCAAGACGGGAATGTACATCCAAACTCGGGAAAAGCGAATCCTGAAATGGGCGTTTTCAAAGCAACCACTTAATACAATTCCTCCACATGCGACAACCAGTTAGCCGAGGGGGTGCAACGATAAGCTTCTATCTGTTCGGTTTAGGAATTTAGTACTAGGCGTGGATTTAAAGGAAATTGTAAATTGAACTTGTGAATGTTCTCAAACCCGGGGATTTACGCAAAACTCCCCCACACCTCTTTAAAAGTCATTTCAGTACTATTTACAAAGAGCAAAAATACTTTTCGACATAGCTCTCTTACAACAAATACTCACATCCCACAAGTGGTCGACATTTAATGGGATATTTTCCTTGTATAGATTTTAGTTTCATTCGAAATTTTGTATAGCTATTACAATTTTAATAGTAATAGTTCAAAATAGCCGACCTGGATGTCAGAGGTGACTAAGAGAATGTACCGAATCAGCGCTTCGGTCCGAAGGGTCGTGTGTTCGAGTCCCGCCTTGGACATGTTGTTTGTCCCTCGTTTCTCATGCAAGTGTTGTTGCGAAGGGCCTCGCGTTCTGCTGATCCCAGATCAGAGGAGCCCGCAAAGTGTGTTAATGTCTAGAGTATCGTCAAATACGCGTCCCATCGGGCCGCAAAGGGTATCCGGCTGTCGGCTGGAAAAAATCCTAAGACGAAGAAAAGTTCAAACAATTGGCAAGGTGGATCTGTTGGCACGGTAGTCCCAATCACAAGTACGGCTTCGGCGTTATGTGTGCGTCCGCAGACGATTGCCTGATGTATGGGTTTCCACGTACACGCACAAATGCGAATCACCACTGGAGAGGAGATCTTCATCGAAATAAGACGATATCGTTGTAATATTAGTTATACATTTATGGCACTAGTTTCTTTGTGTGGTAGAATATCCAACATTCCAACTAATTAATTATTACAAGTTTTAAATCGCCAGACATTTTTCACTAGCTTGACATTAATTCATATGAAACTAAATTGATTATTAGTCGTGAGACTTTAGATAATTAAAAATGACCAGTATGAAGCAGGGCTTTTTCTGTTTAGTAATGATACGTTTGTGTAAGTTCAAGGGGAACTGGAGGTGCCGCAGCAGAAGGTACTTGCTAGTATTATAAGTTACCAATATTACCGATTTGGTTGAACAAGTTCGAAAATTTCGCACATTTGAATAAGATTGCGTGTTATCGCGGCCAGCGACGAGTTCATTTTCACCCCTCAAGCAAAACTTAAACTAGTAGTGCTTCAGAATGGATAGCAGCACCTTTCCCGTATTAGTTTTTTATTTCCTTTGATCACGGCTAGCTACTCGGACTTGCCACATACTCTAGGCAGCTGCCACCTATCGACGCCCAAAACTATTACTTTTGAAATTTTCTTAATTTTTCCGTTACTTAATAGTAGAACGGAATTATTGTTTTTAAGAATATTAAAGAACAGTAAAACCTCGTTATATATGGTAATTTCCTTTGAAAACTATTTAGAAGTTTTTATGAAAACGTGGTTTTAACCGCTACTGTAAATTCGAAATTTGACCTTTCTTCACAGAAAATTATTGAGTTTTCGAAAAACTTCATATGAAATCGTTTCAAGCACTTCCCGTCACAAATACGGTTAACAAATCGCAGTAAATGTGTATATTAAAGACGTAAGAAATCGTTAAAAAAATATTTGTGTAATTTTAGAAAAAACACAATAATGGAGCAATATGGTGTATACGTCATCTTATTAAATTCATTTAGTACTATCCCTACCAAACGTTTAAAGAAAACAAATTGAGCCGTTTTGGAGAATATGTACTTTTTGTAATTTTTAAAAATTGTAAATATTGCACGCAAGACTGCCCGAAAACAACTACACTATTAAAAAAATGTTCATGGCATTATTAAAGAACTAAATTTTATTTGAATGAAAAATCTCTATCTTCAATTTTGTTGCTACGTGAAGACGCGGAAAAAAAATCAACACTTTTGCAAATTTCGAAATTTCAAAATTAACCGCGAAAATCGACCGTATGCCACCTATAGAATTGTATTTTACACTATTCTTACAAGTATTTTAAAGAAAAAATTTAGAGTCTTTTTGAGAAAAGTTTGAAAATGTCCGGAGGGCTTCATGTAAAAATTCGCAGCGCCTCGAGTGGAGCCAGATCGACCGGGAAATTTTACCACGTGTATTACTCTGTATTTACGTATACGGGAAAGTAAAAATGAAGAAACAATTTTGAGCCACTTTTTAAAACATTTGAAACTGGCATGATCATTCACATCACCCCAGTGTTTATTTTTCGGTTCAAAATTGTCTTACATGGCCACGCCATTTTTTTTTACGGTACGCGGAAGTCAAAGTCTACTTGCCACAACTACTGTTACTGCACATTGAAGGTAAGTTTCCATGCACGATTGTTGAAAAAAGATTTAGAAAGATTCGAGTCCGAAATCTTGAAGAGGAAGAAAGTACAATAGTACTTTATCATGCACAGTAGTATCAGAGTTTAGGCAAAACCAATTAACATAATTTATTAACATTTCGCGAAAATTTGCAAGCCAATACTCGATTTTGAGGCAGTTTGCCTTCCTTTAAACATTCGGCAGGTGGTACGAAGAGGCTTCTTCAAATATGTAAGAGCAACAACGGTAAGTACTAGCAACTACATTTAACTGCACCTCATTCTTCATTACAAAGATTTATTCCCTATGATTTACGATTACGAGTATTACTCATTCCTCACGTGCTTTTCAGAAACTCCTCCATCTCCCTCATACGACACAAAGATATTCCTGTCTCATTAGTGTAGAGGGCATGGCGAACCCCGCATTTTTAGTTTTGGGCCCCTTTGGCTCGCGGCGACAGCAGGACTTTACCACACTGGGAGCACTCTCCAGCTAATCGCTGCACGGCTAATTAGCCCTCATTAGCGCTGGCGTTGGCTGGCCGATTTTCTTCCCCGGGGCAGCTCCGCGACCATTGTTTACGGGGCGTTTACACCACTAGTCGCAATGGCTCTTCCGTGACTTCAACGATTAACATAGCAACACAAACGATGCTAAAACCGGTCCATTACATCAATTTAAGCACTTCTTTTTGTTTAAACCGCTTAAGTAATTTGTTCTCGATTTCAATATCTTGGAAGAGACGTTAATGCATCAGTTGAAGTTGT